TTGGAAGAAGAGAGGCTGTCCTTCGAGGGCCCCAGCTGATGACAGGGCAGCGGGGGTAGGCGTCGAAGAGGGAAAAACGCCATCGGGAGGGCGCTACCGAAGAAGGAAAATCGTCATAAACCTACGGTAGGTTCATGCGGCGATGGCGCGCCAGCGACGCCAGCGAAAGCATTCAAGGTTGAACTCCGCAGGACAAAACGACGCGGCAGCACCGAGGGGCACGGCAACGCCACATGACCCGACGGAATTCAACCTTGAACGATCGGGGCCGCGATCGATTGTAGGTTGAACGGGTCGGCGCAGTGTCAAAAACCTTTGCGCGTGCCGACGCCACACGAACCAGCCGTAGACTGTTGGCGCTCCGCGCGGATTTCTTGGATCCGCGCTGGGCCACTCCGGCGGCGCCTCCGGCGCCGCCCATGGCGCGCTCCGCTCGCCAGGGAGGGGGTCCAGCGCAGACCCCAGAAATCCGCGCGGAGCGCCAAAAGTTCATATGTATGTTTTTTTTTAATGGTTGCAAGAGTTTTTGGGTCAAGGCCCAGGTGGGAGCTTCAGCAGTGTTGGCCCACCCCAAATCCATGCCAGTCATCGGCGGTGCCCTACGTTCAGGGTTCCATCCCTCCTTTAGGGTGCAGTTCTCGGGAGATCGAATTCAGCATCGGCGCTGGTATACCCGTGTTCGAGAACAAGCCGAATAATGGAATATCCCTTTGAATCCCGCGCAATCCCGTCCAATCCGTCTTAATTTGGTCGAAGTCCGGGCTGACGACGGGTTCGCGACAGGGCCCTGGCCGACCGGGGTCTGTGCTGACTTAGGGTATTGCGATCCTCCAGCCCCACCTCTGGTCGAGGGTAACGTGAGGGGAGATGGGCTCAGGTAGGGCGCATCGACCCCCAATCGCCCATTCATCGCCGACAGGGACCCGATATCAGGAGGAAAAGAAACACACAGACACAATTAATCGTCGATTCCCCAGAAAATATGAGAAAATATGGGAAGTGGGCGGGAAGACAGAAACCCAGAAAATATGGGAAAATATGGGGAATCTTTTTATTTGTGTGTATTTATTTGTGTGTCCCAGGGCCCCTTCACGACAGCCCACCCCGCCCAGGAACGTGCGGATTCGCCATCGGGGGCTTGCCGCCGATGCATCGGCGACGTAACGCCGACTCCAGCTCGACGTTTCCCACCCGGAGCCGGTCCTTCCCCCTCGCCTCGGGCCCCACTCGGGCCGCCTCCAATTGGATGCCCCGCGCGCATTTGGAAGGTTCCCCTCCGGAGCTCTTTGGAGGTCCTCCGAGGCCTCCAGAGGTCCCTTGTGCCTCCGGAGGCCAACACAGAACGCCACAAATAGCATACAGGCAAGACGCTGAAAGAAGTATCCCAGTGCGGCCCTACCTAGGAGTTGGAGCCCCTAGGAAAGCAGCATTAGTAGTAACAGTAAAGCTAAGCTAGAGCTAAGCTAGAGCTAAGCTAAAGCTAAGCTGAAGCTAAGCTAAAGCTAAGCTAAAGCTAAGCTAAGGCTAAGCTAACACTAAGCTAAAGCTAAGCTAAAGCTAAGCTGAAGCTAAGCTAAAGCTAAGCTAAAGCTAAGCTAAAGCTAAGCTAAAGCCAAATCTAAATATAAGCTAAAGCTAAGCTTAAGCTAAGCTTAAGCTAAGCTTAAGCTAAGCTAAAACTAAGCTAAAGCTAAGCTGCAGCTAAGCGAAAGCTAAGCTAAAGCTAAGGTAATGCTGAGCTAAGGCCGAGCTAAAGCTAAAGCTAAAGCTAAGCTGAAGATAAGCTGAAGCTAAGCTAAAGCTAAGCTAAAGCTAAGCTAAAGCTAAGCTAAATCTAAGCTGAAGCTAAGCTGAAGCTAAGCGAAAGCTAAGCTAAAGCTAAGCAAACACTAAGCTTAAGCGAAGCTAAAGCTAAGCTAAAGCTAAGCTAACACTAAGCTGAAGCTAAGCTAAAGCTAAGCTAACGAGAAGCCAAAGCTAAGCTAAAGCTAAGCTAAGACTAACATAACACTAAGCTAAAGCTAAGCTAAAGCTAAGCTGAAGCTAAGCTAAAGCTAAGCTAAAGCTAAAGCTAAATATAAGCTACAACTAAGCTAAAGCTAAGCTGAAGCTAAGCTAAAGCTAAGCTGAAGCTAAGCTAAAGCTAAGCTAAAGCTAAGCTAAAGCTAAGCTAAAGCGAAGCTAAAGCTAAGCTAAAGCTAAGCTAAGACTAAGCTAAAGCTAAACTAACACTCAGCTGAAGCTAAGCTAAAGCTCAGCTAAAGCTAAGCTAACACTTAGCCGAAGCTAAGCTAAAGCTAAGCTAAATCTAAGCTAACACTTTGCTAAAGCTAAGCTAAAGTTAAGCTAAAGTTAAAGCTAAAGCTGAAGCTAAGCTAAAGCTAAAGCTAAGGCTAAAGCTCCCAGGGGACTGGGGGAACCGCGGGCCGGGGACTGGGGGAACCGCCCGGCCCCTTTAAGCTAGAGAGTAAGAACTCTTCTAGGCAGAGCTTAGGTAGGGAAAAACTATATAGCATTCCGGGTTTGTTCCCCGATAGGCCTTTGTGGTGCCAAAACGGGGGCTTCGTTCCTTTTTGCGTTCCTTATTGCAGCAGTCGGGTTGACCCTAAAGGGGGTCCAGCGACAGGGGGGTGATGCAATAGATGTGGTGCGATAGATCTGTGGGGTTGAAATTAATTTGGGGCGCGCAATACATCCCGGGGTGCAAACGTATTGCTGGATCTTCGCGTGCAACGCATTCGTTGCAGTATACAATGCAATACAATTCTCTGGCGCAGCACGTCTGCAATCCGATTGCCCCAAGTCTATTGTGCCACCCCCTTTCAGCTGGACCCCTTTTTTTGGTCACCCAAAAGAGGTTCCCTTCGATTCCACTCCGATGTTGTCTCATTCTGCTCTTGGCGGCGCGCATGAGGAAGAGGGCCCAGGCAAATGGCACAAGGGGAGGACGGAGACGACGACTCCAGCGAAAAAGCCCGCGGCATCCACTGCCAAGTTGGGCCACCCAACTTGACAGCCAAGTCGGGCCACCCAATTTGACTGCAACGTCCGCGTCCCCGACGGCGAGGGAGCCTCGGCCCGCCGCCGCCTCGCCGCCAGCACCTCTGCGGGCGGTGCCGCGCCCCCGGCAGCGCTGCCGGCGGGCGGCCGCCATGCGCCGCCCGGCCACGCTGACGTTCTCGGCCGTCGGGCGTCGAGAAACGCGGGGGCGAAAATCTCACGTCGGGCCCGTCCCTCTACAGGGGGGCACGCCCGGCCTAACGATGAGCCGCCAAGAAAAATACCTACACTGGCGCTCTCCAGCGGATTGTTCCTGGGCCTCAGGGGATCCGTGGCGGTGTTCAAGTCACCACTGGGAGCCGGCGACTTGCTACACGTCGCCGCCCTCCCTGCAGGTACATGACAATTCGTCGGAGGGCGCTTGCGAATAGACATTTGCGTGGCGTAGAACCTCAGACTCCCGACGTCGTGATTTTTGCACAACGTCGACACCCAGAGGTCTGGACCCCTTCCCCGGGACCAGCTCTTCGTCCTAGATCGCTTTTGGACGGTCCTGTGGCCCGGGAAGGGCTCCCGGAGTCCGAAAATACAACAAAAAATCCCGTCGTGATTTTTTCATGATTCGAGGGAGTCTGGGAAGAGAGGGAGGACCACCTGGACCCGATAGTTGGCGTTTATTGAGCGGCCTTAAGGCGTTGCTTAAACAGCCCTGCCCTGTTCGAGTCCTTCTTCGGGTGCGTTTCCTAACGGCCTCGCATGCCGGGGTGACGATTCTTGTTGAGGGTGGATTTTCTGCCTCTCTACCCTCGGGCCCCACGAGTCAAGCAGTGGCGAAATGTCCTAGCTCGCCAATAGGCCTACCGGAGATTCTAAGAACCTTTCTGTGGTCTGCACGAAATGTTATCATAACATTTAAGGCTGAGGCTGTATTGTTTCAACACATCGGGCCCATGTTCTAAGAACATTGTTTTGGTTATTAGAACAGTTGTTGGTTTTGGAACATTTCGTGGTAGGCCTATAGGAATGCTGGGACGGTCGGTCCCTGCTCAAACGAGGGATACGAATGGCGCAACTTTCTCCCACGCCTTCCGAGGCAGGAATTTATACAGGACCTCCGCCTGGAGGATCAACTTTCGGGGACCTCGGCAGGCGGCGGATATGGGCAGATTCGGGCCCCCAAGGGCCAACACATACATACATACATACATACATACATACATACATACATACATACATACATACATACATACATACATAAATATATACATACATACATACATACGTACGTACGTACGTACGTACGTACATACATACATACATACATACATACATACATACATACATATATACATACATACATACATACATACATACATACACACATACACACGTACATACATACAAACATACATGCATACATCCATACACGTAATATATATACAGCTATATGTATGTGTATATATATATAAATATACACAGAAGTGTCTATATATATATACATGTCCACCGCTCGCTGGGGCACCAGGACGCCGGATCCCAGGCGGTGGATCTGAATACATCTCCCCCCCACTTGTCGCCCCCCCTCTTGCTGCATTCACGCCCGAGGCCGCCGCCTCGCTGTGCTGCTCGGCCGCCGGCGTGCTGGAGCCACTGCGGCTGCCCGAGGTGCCCCCGGGGGGGCACCGAGCCTCGGGGCGGCGTCGAGGGCTCCTCCTCCTCCTCGTCCTCCTGCTCGGCCTCCTCCTCCTCCTCCTCCTCCTCCTCCTCCTCCTCCTCCTCCTCCCCCTCCTCGCTCCTCGATCCTCCTCCTCCTCCTCCTCCTCCTCCTCCTCCTCCTCCTCCTCGCGGCTAGAAGAATTAAAACAACACGCCATAAGCATACGCTGTTGGCGCTCTGCGCGGATGCCTTGGATCCGCGCCGGGCCCCCGCTGGCGGCGCCTCCGGCGCCGCCCCTGGCGCGCTCCACGCGCCAGGGGGGGGGGGACGTCCAGCACAGATCCCAAAAATCCGTGCGGAGCTCCGCAATAGTGAAGCTAATGCCGTTTGTTTTTATTCTAGTCGAGGGAGCGGTTCCATGGTCCATTTGTTAACGGCCCCCGCTCCAGGCCTCGTAGATGGGATGGGGTCCGAGCAGACGAGGTCGAAGGATCGCTCCGCCTCGACGATGCGTCTCGATTTGGAGCCGGAGGTGCGGTGCGATCTTCTGACCCCATCTATTCGGACCCCATCTGGGATGCCTCTAGGGATGGCGTCGAGGAAGTGTTCCCATGGTCTGTTTTCTCGTGGCCTTCGTGAATGGCGCTCGTACCTACAGCTGGACGCGGCTCGAAAAATTGGTCAGGATTGCATCCAGGAGGGGTCCAGCCCACAGGAGGCTTCAAAGGTGCCGTTCCTTTTGCCCTGTGACCTCGACCGCCAGGGTGATTTCAAGGGAGTAGGAGGAGGACGAGGAGGAGGAGGAGTGAACGAGGCCTCTTCCCCCCCCCTGAGCCCGAAGCGGTTCTTATTTCAGTCCCTTGACTTTACCGCAGCCACCAAGCCCCAGTCATCCCGGTCATCCTGCCTCGCCCGCCACCGTGCACCACGACTGATCAAACATGGCAGAAGTCACGACGTCACGCCGTCCATTCATCAACAAAGGCACCGGGAGTACAAAAACACCAAGGGCACGCATCACAAACAAACCTCAATAACATATAGGGCAGGCAGACGGCAGCGATGCCAGTAACGCAATGTCCTTAAGACATACATCAGCAACACACACACACCTGTATCTATACATATAGATATATACACCACCCCAGCAGAACTAGCGATAGTCTGATTGACCACAGAATGACGCAGCTATGGTGAGTCTCTTGTTTCCTCATGAGGTGAGCCACTGTACGAGAAATCGTAGGTAGCGATGTGACTGGCAATTGGATGACGGAGTTGGGAGGGCTCCTGATTACTTATTGAGAGGCTATTGGCAGGGTCTGTAGGGGCTCATGAGAAGCTCCAGAGAGGCTTCGGCGAGGCTCCTAAGATGCTCCTGGGAGGCTCCAGAGAGGTCCTAGTGTTGGAGCAAATGTTGCACAATGTTCAGGAGGAAAAGAAACACACAGACACAATTAATCCTCGATTCCCCAGAAAATATGGGAAAATATGGGAAGTGGTTGGTTGGGAAGACAGAAACCCAGAAAATATAGGAAAATATGGGGAATATTTTTATTTGTGTGTATTTATGTGTGTGTCCTGGGGCCCCTTCAAATGTGTTCCCAACGCGTTGCCCTGCTCGTGGAAACGCCTGTGCCAACCGCGGGCCGTCAACGCGAAAGCAGTCGTCGGGAACTCTTTGGCAGAGCACTCTTAATATGCAGTTTCTCATCCACGCCTCCTCCTCCTCCTCCTCCTCCTCCACCTCCTCCTCCTCCTCCTCCACCTCCTCCTCCTCCTCTTCCCCCTCCCCCTCCTCCCTCCTCCTCCTCCACCTCCTCTCCTCCTCTTCCTCCCCTCCTCTTCCTCCTCTTCCCCCTCCCCCTCCTCCTCCTCCTCCTCCTCCTCCTCCTCCTCCTCCTCCTCCTCCTCCTCCTCCTCCTCCTCCCCCTCCTCCTTCTTCGTCGACAAGCTCAGTAAGTCCACATCTGGATATGCTCAGGCTGGCCCCGAGTTCCGGCTTGATGGCTGCCTCACATATTTGTTCCACTGCGCGACTCTACAATTCCCTCGCTCAAGCAACTCACCCGGCGATCGCTTCGTGATGGGCTAGTGGGGATACTTTTTGATCTGCGGTTCCAAGGACGATTCCAGAGAGCGGGTCGTATCGAGCATGGGGCAGCACGCAAGACAATTGCCAGCAGGCCAAAAGCCGACGCCGGAGGGCACATGTGCCAGAGAGAGAGCAAGCTTGGGGGGCCAAGCGAGATAATTGCCAGCGGGCCAAAAGCCAACGCCGGGATGCACGTGCGAGGGGAGAACCCCAAAAGGCCCAGCAAGAGCAGGACGGCGAGCAGATAATTGCCAGCGGGCCAAAAGCCGACGCCGGAGAGAACATGCGGGGGAAGAATGAACCGCATACCGACGAGCCCGGCACCCGGTGAAAGCGAGGCATAAACCAGGAACCCTCACTCGCTAGTGGGGATACGCGAAGCGTCAAGAATCAACACACACACGCCTCGCACACATGCACATGATAATAAGCGAACGCAAGACCAACCACAACATATGCCAACTGCTGAGAGCGAGCCGTGGATCTCGTGGCAGCCTCCTCTTGTCACGCATGTTCCCGCCAAAAGAAGCCCTGAGAACGATCGGTGCTCATGCAATGAGACATCATGCCCAACATGATGTGGGCAACACACGTTGGAAACCTATCAGTCGGAACCCTTCCAGATGTAGCTCTGACGATCGAACCGCGTCTGGCCGTCGCCACGAGAGCTGTCCAAGAGGGCAGTAGCAAAACGGGCTATTGTGGGCGATGCCCACCCAAGAGCTGCTGATAATGGTTCCAAAGTCTGTCGCGAGTCATTATGTGATATAATGTGTGAAGATTGGTGTGTATGGTCGTTATCATATATGTTGTTGGTGACTGTTCTAAAGGTGCGTATGGCCTCCGAAACACATTGTTGGTGTATGTAGTTGGTGACTGATCTATAAAGGTGTGTTCGTGACGCCTGGCACTTACATATAACTATATACATGTGTAGATCGCTTCGTGTGTACATGTCTGAAGTGTATGGCATTGATTGGTGTATGTTACCTGCGCATGCTCTTGACATGCACGATGTATGCTTGTCCTTGATGTGTTCTAAGTTGTGCATGTTGTTGCTGCACGTGTTTGATATGTTTGTGTGTTGCCCTTTCTTTGTGTATGACTTTGTTGGCTGTGTGTGTGTTGCATGCTCCTCTTTTGTGTTGTTGACGTCTGCTAGTGATATTTGTCATTGATGCCTGTCCTTGGCGTCTGTTCTGGGTGATCCCGTTGCCACAGCTGCTCAAGGCAGCAGGCTCAAGGCAGCAGGGCTATAAGTTTCAGAGCTGCTTCTGCTGCAGGTTGTGCTTCTGTGAGGCATGAGCATCGCCGTTGTCGTCGTCAGTGTCACCATTGCCTGCGCTGGACGCGTGCATCGCGGGGAGGGATGAGGAGGATGAGGAGATATTTTGGATGAGGCAGGCGCGACGCCGACGGTGATGGCGACCATATAGTGATCAAAATGGGTGATCGGATGACGAGGATGAGTGAGAGGATTGCACTGGGTGAGCCCATAAAAAGGAAGGATTAGAAAGATGATGAGGAGGAGACGACATAAGACGAGGAGGAGGAGCATGTCTTGACCATCGGCAAAACACTCGCAGGCGGTATCCCGTCGATTTGCTTTCGGCAGAGTTTGGCATCTCGATGGTTTTCTCTGGAAGGTATGTGGTTACCTCGGGCCTGTATGAAGTTGATGGAGGATGCCCTGGCACGAGTGCAGTCATCTGAGTTTGGTTCAGCATATCTGTGCATGGGAGCGAGCCTGCGACCGCATCCACGGTGCTTCTATGATGACAGTGGTTTGCGGAGCGCGGATTCTTTACTGTGTACGAGGGACGGTGCCCTTGGGGGCGAAGATCCTTAGACATCCATCGTGAATCGGAGCCTCGGGAGCGCGGATACTCCGTAATGGACAGTGGGCGCGAGCCCCCAGCCGCGCCGGCAGCATTTCTGGAGGGTTGGAACCCCCAGAGGGGCAGCTCAGGTAGCCTCACTCGAAGAGGGCCTTCGAGGTTCATTTCAAATACCAAGCACACAATGCGATGAATACAGCAGCCTCTGCGTATGATGCCACGCGCATGGCATTACTGAGAAGGCCCAGCGGCCAGTGCCGCCGACTCTGAAGGGGGACGGCGGCGACGACGGCGGCTGCGGCGGCAGCGGCGACGACGACGACGCCGACGCTCTGGAGCCCTTTCTTGGGGCTCTCTTGGGAGCCTCTTGGGCTCTGATGGGGCTTGGGCTGGGGCCACGGCTGGGTCCGGGGCCAGGGCCGGGGCCGAGGCCGAGGCTGGGGCCACGGCCAGGGCTGGGGGCACAGGGGGCCAGGGCCAGGGCTGGGGCGGGGACCCTTGCTTCGGCCACCTGGGTTGGGCCGTGTCTGGGTTCGGGGCCTGGGCTGGAGCGGGGGCCGGGGCCGGGGCCGGAGCGGGGGCCGGGGCTCGGGGGGAAACGTATCCGGGCGGACTTGGGACCCCATCCCCCGGCGCGGGGAAAGGATCAAAGGGAAGGGGTCGGGTTGACCCAAAAGGGGGTGCAGCGACAAGGGGGTGGTGCAATAGATTTGGTGCGATAGATTTGTGGGGTTGCAATACATCTGGGGCGTGCAATACATTTCGTGGCGCAAATTATTGCTGCACTTCCGCGTCCAATACATTTCTTGCCATACGATGCAATACAATTCCCTGGTGCAATACATTTGCAATACACTTGCCCCAAATCTATTGCACCACCCCCTTTCAGCTGGACCCCCTTTTGGGTCAACTAAAAGGGGTTCCCTTCGATTCCACTCCGATGCTGTTTCATTTTGCTCTGGGCGGCGCGCATGAGGAAGAGGGCCCAGGCAAATGGTATAGGGAAGGACGTAGACGACGACTCCAACGAGAATGCCCGTCTCGAACGAAAAAGCTCCTCACACACGCCGACAGAGTC